TTGATAGATGCCTAATTATTAAAGATAAGTATCTGTGTCAAAAAACTTTATTTATTACCATTTTTAATTACAAATTTATTTGAATCTATTATATTATTTCATCAAGTTAGTTAATGCAAGGGAAGTTTAAAGTTATACTCGCTCGGGCTTCCCATCTCCAAATGACTTTCTTATCGTAAAGGAACAAATCGGTCCCTGCATACAAAGGAATGACTCAAGCAGGTGATGCAAACGAATTGTTATCAGTCATTTCCTACAATAGCGGCCTATTGTTGAAAGTCTACAATCGAGAATGACATCATACAGATTGTATATTATTTATGAGTAAATTGAATCTAACCTCATTTTTAAATCAAAATGTCTGGGTATTTTATGTAATTTATATAATTCCCCTCGTGCTGAAGGGAGGCCCGTGCCCAGCAGTGGGACGTTAAAAAGGGCTGAATACATACAATATAATTTTAACGTTCCGAAATATTATATAATCTATACATATATTAAAATTGTAACGAAGCCGAATCTGTACATTAAATATTGTTTGGAAAATCTTATTGAAATAAACATTATTATTGATATAGAGGCCGAATCTATAGTTTTACAATTTTTGTCTGTCTGTCTGTTACCGCATCATAGGAAAACCACTGGAGGAATTTTCATGAAATTTGGTATGGTGATAGCTGGGTATCCGGGTCAACATATAGGATACTTTTTACCGCGGGAAAATATCTCATTTCTAGGAAAAATACAAAAACTGAAATGTAAGACTATACTAATATGTAAAACCTAACAACTTGGTTTTTGGTCACCTGAACGCGAGCGGAGCCACGGGCAATGCTCGTAAATTATACTATTAACTTTGACTCACGTGCGTCCCTACGTGCGTATTAAATAGATATGAACAGTTATTGCCAGTGTACCTTAGGAGACAGTCTTCTGCTATTGCAGGTTTTTCTATAGGCTTTATAAAACCTACAATTTTCTAGTACATTGTTTTGATTTATACTTCAAGTTTTAGCTAGCGTTAGACATATAAACTAAGAACGATTCGATAGAACCAGTTATTGTATTTTTTCGTGGGAATGAAGGATTTTCTTGTAGTCGAGTAATAAGTTATCACTATACAAAATTTTGTTAAAATCGTTTCAGTACTTTTTGAGTAAAACCGCACATCGATTTCGCTAAGTTACTTCCTTATAATATGTACCTATAGATGTATAGATGATATACAATATATTACTATTAGACTTTGAATGGGTTCTTACTTCTTATGGTAGGTACCAACTACATCGTGTTAAGAATAAAAATATCTAATAGAAAGTCATGTCACGTTCAGATTGTTTTCAAATACCTGTGTTCGATAAATACGATTCTTTGTTCACAATCTTTATTTTTCCCATTTCCCATAATATGAGACCGGATTTCCTCAATTTTTGTGCCAAGACAATCTGTCTTGAGTTGTCGATTCTGGCAATTGGGCCTGCTTGAGGTCGGTCATTTTATCTATGATCAGCCCACCTCAGCATCTTTATTTCTTCTTTAATGTCCAAATCTTACTTGTGTATAAAGCGTATTGTAATTTTAAAGACTTCCCCTTGAACATGGGACCATTCAAGTTTGTGATGCAGCTTTTATAAAGTCTGTCCGATGCTTGAGTGATCGACCTAGTGACCACTTGCCTTCCACTTGCCACTGGACAAGGAGAAGTTCCATAGAGTGCTCATTTCAAACGGTGTGTCCAAAGTAATTGAGGTTTCGTATCTACACAATCGACGATAATCTCTTTGGTTTTAGTTCCTCTAAGATCGAGACGTTAGACTGAAATGCTGTTTAAGGACACGGATACGGATCGAAGCCGGTTGCAGTCACCGCCAGCCTACCGCCACCATATTTCGAGAGCATCGATTTTGCGTCGGTCCATCACTCAGCAACAGAGTTTTAACTTTTTCATAAGATAGGTACTTAACTGTTTACTTATAGGTATAGTCTAAACATAAATAACTAAAGATATAGATTAGGTATAACGATAGGTATTATAGTAAGCGATAACAAGACAGCAATTTCCACTAATAAGATGTTTTGCATAACGAAGACATTCTTGAATTTTCCAGCGAAATTTCTCTTGTAATGTAAGGGGTCACCATTTGTCGTATGGACTCATTGAAAAACGTATATAGGTTAAACTAACTTAAATTAAAAACGTTTGTTTTTTGTAACCTATTATATTCCTTCTCAAAAGCAACTTAAAATTATGATTTATTTTATTACATAGGTTTCAATAATCAATATATCCAATGATTTCATAAAACCCTGACCGATAAATATAATCTGATGCTTTGGCTGGAAATGAAAAACAATGTTATTGCCTTAAGTAGTACAAGATAGTATGTAGTTTAGTAAACAGCTATTAAAGTCTTGGGTCAAAGGTACATACAAGTTTAGAACAAATTTTATTTCGATTACCGCGTTTTTTAAGATTACTTTACGTTTTCTAAAATCGGTGCATATTAAAGTTGCCACCTCAAACAATTCAGCCTTTTCATAGATTGTATTAGACTGTAAGTCAAGACTCCCGGCCTCGATGTCTTTTCACCTTGTCGTGACGGGAGGGCTCATTAGCGTCCGGCAATCCATCCAGGCGCGAAACTAAGAGACACTGGAAGGTAGCCCGCTTCGGTGGACGATATACCATGCTGGTTGCTTCTGGTACTTCTCTCATAACAGAGTAGACCGTTGCAACTCCATGTTTGTTGTGGCCCCAGGGCCGGATTTAACCTTAGCGCCGCCCCTGGACACTATAAAAAATGCCGCCCTATTATCGAAATTTTAAATAAAATGTTGAAAGTTTAAATTTTTTAATTATTAATTTTTCGAAATATGCAAAAAGATAATAATTTATAAATGATATAATTTTTTTGTAAAATGTACCTACAAGTCAATCTTTTTTTTTGATAAATAAAAAAAATCATTTTTGATAACGCGAAGAAAAATATTTTCCCACCCTCCGAATTTTGCCGCCCTGGACACTAGCCCTGAGTGCCCCTAGTGAAATCCAGGGCTGTGTAGCCCCATGAAAGTACCTGCCGTCGGAGCGTCGTAGTTGAGATGACTTCTGCGATGCACTATTAAGGGGGAGGTTAAGGTTTTAGTGGGTAGTACTAGCTTTAATATCCAGCTTTTTTATTGAGCTTTCAGCGCAAGTATAGTCCACGATTTAGAAGATAATTTAACATTTGAAGAACTTGTTTTTTTAGTCGTCGAAAATGTTAACCAGTACAAGTGTTATATATTTGATAGACATCACAAAAACTAGCATTTCTGAATAATTTATACATTTTTAAACCCCTCCAATTTAAAAAAAAATACATCTATTTTTATTTTAGTGTATATTGATACTTAAAATGAACAAACCTTTACGATTACATTTCTAATAATGCCAACGTGGCATTAAAGCGACTGATGCGGATGTGAATTGTGATGGCACCTCTCAATTTTTATAGATACTTTTGAAGCGCTTACTCTAAACAGTTTTTTAGTCAAACAATACGTATTAATTTCATCTGTTCCAATAAGCTTATAAGTTGAAGTTTAATTTATGTATTTAATTCTTTATGGAAAGATCTTATCCAAAAACTAAACTATTTATTTTTATAAAAATATGATTTTATGATGTGACATTAATTTAATTATAACACTATAGTGACCTATACAATAGTGTCATTATTAATAATAACAAAATCAAACAAATTATTTAAGTAAATTAACTTTAGTACCTACTTAACATTGTTAAGTGAAAAATTTTGGTATCTTTGAAAGAACTAATTTCAAGAACTACCATTACAATTTGTAATAGGGAATATGCGTGCTATTTAAATTAAGATTTTTTTTTTTTTAATCTTTATTCTTTTGAATTAAGCCTATATCAATATTTTTTAATTAAGAAAATAATTATTAAAAATGTACAAATATAGGTGGGAAATAAAAACTAGTTGAAACGCGCGATATAGGTCAGACCGAATATGACGTCAGAGTATTATCATAACTGAGCGATTAGCGACTTTGTCTCTAGAAACTAAAGCCGTAATTTTTCTATGTATGATACTTTGACATCACACCAAGGGCGCGAAATGGCGGGTGTTTAAAATATTCATATCAGTATGATATTTTTTAAATTATTTTTTTAGAGCTGGACATTTAAAAAAAAATTATATAGTTAGATGTTGAATAAAAAAATTACAAAAATGACTCATATTCCCTATTAATGTATAGATCATCTCCATTCATCTGTTCATTGAAGACGACGGTGAATCATAAACGCAAACGAAGTATACTGAAACTTTTAACTGTACAGCTGGACATGTACGATATATCCGAAGGTCCTGGGTTCGAGACCCGGGTCGGGCCAAGTTCAGTTATCGAGTCTTTCTATATAGCGAGCCTCAGTCGGTCCTGCGCCGACACTCTCACCGGTCGTGTCTCGTGTCGTCCACCGGAGTATGAGAGTGACAGGAATAGAGAGTGTACTTGTGTCTGTTCGAACAATTGTGCACTATATCTTCTGCGGTCTAGTCTCATTGAGATTGGCCGTGGAAGAAATCGATTGGGGGGGAGGACATTATTATTCATTAAACTAGAAAATCTACTTTTATTCATGAAAAAAAAAACACGAACATGCTCACACTTATTTATTAAATACAAAAAAAATCTCAATAATTTGAACAAATAGTTTATTTAGAATTTGGCACCATATAACAACACAACACGTATATATTTTCAACTTTATCATATAGCTCCTGTGATTCGATTATTTTAATTAGTATACAAATCTCGTAAAGTTGTTAAATAATTATTTTTAACTACTACGAGTCTATTAAGTTTTATTGGAAATTTCGATGTTAGATGTAAAAATAATAAGTATTTATTGACTGGATTTAGAATATTTTAAAGTACATTTTCTTGTTGTCATGTATACTAATGGTCATTGTCATTAGTCATGTAGACTAATGGTTTGAAATGACGTTTGGTTGCACGGGTGGAGAAGGGTTTTGTCCGGATTGGACTGGAAGTTGTTGGTTTTGTTGTTGATTTTGTGGTGCTTGGCCTTGGGGTACTTGTCCTTGTGGTACTTGACCTTGGGGTATCTGTGCTGGAGGAGCTTGGGCCTGTGGCTGGCCTAGATTTTGCGCTTGAGGTGTTTGGCCTTGTTGTTGACCTTGTTGCACTTGTCCCGGTTGCTGTCCTTGCTGAACTTGTCCTTGGTATTGACCTTGAGGAACTTGACCTTGATATTGTCCTTGAGGTACCTGCCCTTGGTATTGTCCTTGAGGGGCCTGTCCTTGGTATTGTCCTTGAGGGGCCTGTCCTTGGTACTGACCTTGAGGAACTTGACCTTGATATTGTCCTTGAGGTACCTGCCCTTGAGGGGCCTGTCCTTGGTATTGTCCTTGAGGGGCCTGTCCTTGGTATTGACCTTGAGGAACTTGTCCTTGAGGGACTTGTCCTTGATACTGTCCTTGAGGGACTTGTCCTTGATATTGTCCCTGAGGTACTTGTCCTTGTTGATAGCCAGCTTGTGGATGTTGTTGTCCTTGAGGGTAGTGTTGCTGATATTGTTGTTGGTATTGCTGTTGGTAGGCCTGATGTTGCATCTGTTCAAACTGTTGGATCGCTTGATGTATTTGATGATCAGCTCCAGGCAACGGGCGGCCGTTAGCGTCGATCTGAAATGTTAAATTTTATATATTCGCGTTTAAATTATTATACTGTAAATGTGGACACTATCTAATGATTTATAGTTCATAGAGAGTGACGAGTTTCAGCTACTTTTTTTTTGAAACTCACTACTTAATAAATTTTCTTTTATACACTTTCACATTTAAAATATTAGTATGGTAGTATAGATTATAAACACACTTCATATGCTATAATAATTCAGGTATTCGATATGGCCATATGGCGTACGAGAATTCATCGATTAGTGGGTTGTCTGTAGAGTCTACAAGAGAAATGTCAGGAAAAAGGGTACAAGAGAAATAGTTTGCTTTAGAACTAAAGGTGGCCTTCCTAGAAAGTTTCTTTGCAGGTCCAGAGTGCCAATTCAAAAATACTATTGAATTTGGATAAAAGCTATGAACCCTAAATTATTTGGCCATTAAATTCTAATGACAACAATGATTTCAATTTATTTTTACAATTCTATAATAACTGACTTCCTCTACAATACACGCGTTTTTGTAAGTAAGTGGATAGTAAATTTGTAACTAGGAAAAAATTAAAAAATATATAGAAGAAAATATTAACCGAACCTTTTTATATATTGGATACATTGAATTTTTAGTTTTGGCCATAGCATAATATTCATATTTTTGTTAAAAATTCAAGCTGTACACAGCTTAAAATAACATCTTTTTGGTAGGACCGACGTACAAACACAGTGCAATGACTAATTATTATATACCGGGACGGTACTTATTGTGGATGAAATCTTAAAAAAAATTATACTTTAACTTACCAGACCTCGCTGTTGTAGATAATTTAAAGTGTCTATTCTCCTTTTCTCATACGCTTCATACTCCGCCTGCGTGTAGATTTGATTTTCATCTATTGGTTTCCAGCCTGAAAAACAATATAATATTATAGTACACAAAAACGTGACAATGTATACGCTGAATTTAATAAAAAACGTTTGTGTGTGTATGTACTTATGTACGCTCGTAAGAAGTTATACTTCTTTGGCGTAACAGAACAAAAATAGCTAAAGATTTCATCTCGTATGTCACAACTCTCTGTTTGTAAAAGAAATGCAGCTAACTTCATCATGTCGCTTTCTGGCTGTCGGTGTACGCACGCATCGTAAAAATTTTACTCTCATTTTTTTTCCAATCGTGCCAAAAGTAGTATAACTTCAAATCTCTTATATATATTCAAGTCTTAATATATCAAAAAAATCCTAAAAGATTCTGTTCAAAAGGTTTTCTTAAAAACAGTTTATTGACATTAACAGTAAGATTCGGCCAAGACTCAGTCTACTTTATGTCCCGAGGACATCGACCAAAAAAAGTACTAGATACACAATCCCATGCAGAAGTTCTCTTAAAACAGTCACCAATTGTGTTCAGGCAATTATTCTAGGTAAAATTAAATATACAACAATGTAAATTGAACCTTAGATGCAGTGCTTAGAGTTGTTTTAAAAAAAATTAAAGCGCGCTCAAATGTTCAAATGGGCACTCATTCAGTGAGGACATTTTTTGTCGCTGATTATGTATCTAGTACTTATTTGATCGATGATCGAGGTTTAAAAAAGGTTCCCGAGAAAAATATTACTTAAAAGATTGAATATAACTATAAGTAGTGGGTGAGCGATTTATTCTAAAGTGCATTCATAGGCTACTTTTATACCAAGATCAGAAAATCTTTTCAGCAGATAAAACTTTTATAATTTTTTTGACATGACTATAGCAATAGCGGTAGCCCAAGGTAACACGCTCGCTTGAGTACCCGAACGAAGCGGGTTCAAATCCCGGGTCTCGCACCTCTGATATTTTCATGTGCGAATCATTTTTAACATCATTACCACTTGTCATACGGTGAAGGAAAACATCGCGTGGAGACCTGCATGTCTGAGAGAACCTAGCAAGTTTTCAAAAGACATGTGAAGTCCGCCAACCCGCACTTGGCCAGCGTGGTGGACTATGGCCTGATCCCCCTCGTATTGAAGGGAGGCCCGTGCCCAGCAGTGGGACGTTAAAAAGGTCTGAATACATTTTATAGAAAGAGTAAAAGCAAGCAAGAATGGGACGGTAATATGAAGTAAAATATTACCTTCATCACGATTGAACTCATCCTTTTGAGTTTCAGCCATAAATTCACTATAATCGATCAAGCCGTCGTGATTCCGATCATTTTCTTTGAAGAAATGCTCTCTCATTCTCTCCATTTCTTCGGCACGCTCGTGTAAATCTTTATTTGGTCCTTCGGGGCCGTACATTTTGTCTAATTCCTTTATGAAAAGAGCTTTCACCTCATCCGCATCCCATACACCGTTACCGTCGACATCTACAATAGTTTTATTTTTAAATATAACATGCGATATGTGTGAATTCTAAATATTTTAATATCATTACTTTTCCAATCAAATTATATTTGATTCATCTAAATATATATCAAAAATACAAAATGCTAAATACCGAATTAAATTTATATGTATGTAACTCATAGAAGTGTCTGTTTTTATGTAAAAACTCAAAAATATTAGCTAGTAATGAATTACCACTTCTAAAAGGGCCATATAAATCTCCTGCAAATTTTCCAATTTACTTTTAACTTATATCATTGAAATTCTCAGTTTATTTGAAAAAAAAATATATATAATAAATGTGTATTTGTTTAACAAATTCATTAAACATCCCTCATGGGATTTGATATGAAATTTAAAAAAAAAACTTTAGAATATATATAATGCTAGAGTCAAAGTGTAGAATACAATACAAAATGTTAGATATATCAAGGTAATAAATTCTTATTAAAAATACAATAATTCCTAGTGACCATAACTTGAGTTGTACGACATTTACATGATAAATTAAAAAAAAAATTACACCTGTACAAAATAATATGAACTATTAAGCAAACAGCTATACAAAATTATAAGCAAATTATCGTGTGCTTGCTTTGGAAATTAACAGCGACTTGAAATCGGTTTATACGAGAAGACAAATCTCCACGGAATCGATGAAAGAGCAATAGAACTAAAAATCTCGTGTTTTATTTTATTGTGCGATTCATTATTAAATAAAACTATCTTTCGGATTATTTCGCGGATTTATTTTGATTTTTGGTTCCCGACGTTTCGAATGCTTTACAGTATCCATGGTTACGGGAGAGTCTGAGGTGTTACATGTCTTGGAGGTATAGCTGTTACAAAAATAAATAAATCCGCGAAATAATCCGAAAAGATAGTTTTATTTAATAATGTCAAACATTCGCGTAAATCTAAGAAAGTATTATGTGCGATTCATTTTAATAAATGACTAGGGCTATGTGAACTTGGCACCCGACTTTGGAAAAATTGTTCTTTTTTAGGTTTATTTGAACGATTTCGGTTAGTAGTAGATAGTAGTGAAGCTAACTTCGTTTGTAGTAGTGCCAAAAAAAAATACAGACAACAAAAAAAATGTCATCCCCCGAAGTTGGTAAAAAATTTTTTTTCCGCTTGATTCGTATAGAAAAACGTTAGTAGTGGTTTGTAGTGCAATTTTTTTCGTTTGTAGTGAAACAAAAAAAAAATTTTTTTTTCGAGTATTTTTGCAGAACGATTTTTACTACATACATTCATTGTTTCGTTTGTAGTACCATTATTTAATTTGTAGTAACGTTAATTTTGGGTTGTAGTACCATTACTTCGTTTGAAGTAACGTTAATTTCGTTTGTAGTACCATTATTTCGTTTGTAGTACGATTATTTTGTTTGTAGTTGTTTGTAGTAACCTTAATTTTGTTTGTAGTACCATTGTTTCGTTTGTAGTTGTTTGTAGTAACGTTAATTTCATTTGTAGTACCATTATTTCGTTTGTAGTTGTTTGTAGTAACGTTAATTTCGTTTGTAGTACCATTGTTTCGTTTGTAGTTCCATTATTTCGTTTGTAGTACCATTATTTCGTTTGTAGTACCATCATTTCGATTGTAGCTGTTTGTAGTAACGTTAATTTCGTTTGTAGTACGATTATTTCGTTTGTAGTTGTTTGTAGTAACGTTAATTTTGTTTGTAGTACCATTGTTTCGTTTGTGGTAACGTTAATTTCGTTTGTAGTACCATTGTTACGTTTGTAGTACCATTGTTTCGTTTGTAGTGCCATTATTTCGTTTGTAGTACCATTATTTCGTTTGTAGTTGTTTGTAGTAACGTTAATTTTGTTTGTAGTACCTTTGTTTCGTTTGTAGTAACGTTAATTTCGTTTGTAGTACCATTGTTACGTTTGTAGTACCATTGTTTCGTTTGTAGTGCCATTATTTCGTTTGTAGTGCCATTATTTCGTTTGTAGTACCATTATTTCGTTTGTAGTACTATCATTTCGATTGTAGCTCTTTGTAGTAACGTTAATTTCGTTTGTAGTACGATTATTTCGTTTGTAGTTGTTTGTAGTAACGTTAAATTCGTTCGTAGTACGATTATTTCGTTTTTAGTACCATTCTTTCGTTTCTAGTACCATTATTTCATTTGTAATGGTTTGTAGTAACGCACTACAAACGAAACAATGGTACTACAAACGTAACAATGGAACTACGAACGAAATTAACGTTACTACAAACGAAATAATGGTACTACAAACGAAATTAACGTTACTACAAACAACTACAAACGAAATAATGGTACTACAAACGAAATTAACGTTACTACAAACAACTACAAACGAAATAATGGTACTACAAACGAAATTAACGTTACTACAAACAACTACAAACGAAATAATGGTACTACAAACGAAATTAACGTTACTACAAACAACTACAAACGAAATAATCGTACTACAAACGAAATTAACGTTGCTACAAACAGCTACAATCGAAATGATGGTACTACAAACGAAATAATGGTACTACAAACAAAATAATGGTACTACAAACGAAATAATGGTACTACAAACGAAATTAACGTTACTTTTGTAGTAACGTTAATTTCGTTTGTAGCTACAATCGAAATACAAACGAAATACAAACGAAATTAACGTTACTACAAACAGCTACAATCGATATGATGGTACTACAAACGAAATAATGGTACTACAAACGAAACAATGGTACTTCAAACGTAACAATAGTACTACAAACGAAATTAACGTTACTACAAACGAAATAATGGTACTACAAACTAAATTAAGGTTACTTTAAACAACTACAAACAAAATAATGGTACTACAAACGAAATTAACGTTACTACAAACAACTACAAACGAAATAATGGTACTACAAACGAAATTAACGTTACTACAAACAGCTACAAACGAAATAATGGTACTACAAACGAAATTAACGTTACTACAAACGAAACAATGGTACTACAAACAAAATTAACGTTACTACAAACGAAACAATGGTACTACAAACAAAATTAACGTTACTACAAACAACTACCAACGAAATAATCGTACTACAAACGATATTAACGTTACTACAAACAGCTACAATCGAAATGATGGTACTACAAACGAAATAATGGTACTACAAACGAAATAATGGCACTACAAACGAAACAATGGTACTAAAAACGTAACAATAGTACTACAAACGAAATTAACGTTACTACAAACGAAACAAAGGTACTACAAACAAAATTAACGTTACTACAAACAACTACAAACGAAATAATGGTACTACAAACGAAATTAACGTTACTATAAACAGCTACAATCGAAATGATGGTACTACAAACGAAATAATGGTACTACAAACGAAATAATGGCACTACAAACAAAACAATGGTACTACAAACGTAACAATGGTACTACAAACGAAATTAACGTTACTACAAACGAAACAAAGGTACTACAAACAAAATTAACGTTACTACAAACAACTACAAACGAAATAATGGCACTACAAACGAAACAAAGGTACTATAAACAAAATTAACGTTACTACAAACAACTACAAACGAAATAACGGTACTACAAACGAAATTAACGTTACTACAAACAACTACAAACGAAATAATGGTACTACAAACGAAATTAACGTTACTACAAACGAAACAATGGTACTACAAACAAAATTAACGTTACTACAAACAACTACAAACGAAATAATCGTACTACAAACGAAATTAACGTTACTACAAACAGCTACAATCGAAATGATGGTACTACAAACAAAATAATGGTACTACAAACGAAATTAACGTTACTACAAACAGCTACAATCGAAATGATGGTACTACAAACGAAATAATGGTACTACAAACGAAACAATGGTACTTCAAACGTAACAATGGTACTACAAACGAAATTAACGTTACTACAAACGAAATAATGGTACTACAAACTAAATTAAGGTTACTTTAAACAACTACAAACAAAATAATGGTACTACAAACGAAATTAACGTTACTACAAACAACTACAAACGAAATAATGGTACTACAAACGAAATTAACGTTACTACAAACAGCTACAATCGAAATGATGGTACTACAAACGAAATAATGGTACTACAAACGAAATAATGGAACTACAAACGAAACAATGGTACTACAAACGAAATTAACGTTACTACAAACAACTACAAACGAAATAATGGTACTACAAACGAAATTTACGTTACTACAAACGAAACAATGGTACTACAAACAAAATTAACGTTACTACAAACGAAACAATGGTACTACAAACAAAATTAACGTTACTACAAACAACTACAAACGAAATAATCGTACTACAAACGAAATTAACGTTACTACAAACAGCTACAATCAAAACGATGGTACTACAAACAAAATAATGGTACTACAAACGAAATTAACGTTACTACAAACAGCTACAATCGAAATGATGGTACTACAAACGAAATAATGGTACTACAAACGAAACAATGGTACTTCAAATGTAACAATAGTACTACAAACGAAATTAACGTTACTACAAACGAAATAATGGTACTACAAACTAAATTAAGGTTACTTTAAACAACTACAAACAAAATAATGGTACTACAAACGAAATTAACGTTACTACAAACAACTACAAACGAAATAATGGTACTACAAACGAAATTAACGTTACTACAAACAGCTACAAACGAAATAATGGTACTACAAACGAAATTAACGTTACTACAAACAACTACAAACGAAATAATGGTACTACAAACGAAATTAACGTTACTACAAACGAAACAATGGTACTACAAACAAAATTAACGTTACTACAAACGAAACAATGGTACTACAAACAAAATTAACGTTACTACAAACAACTACCAACGAAATAATCGTACTACAAACGATATTAACGTTACTACAAACAGCTACAATCGAAATGATGGTACTACAAACGAAATAATGGTACTACAAACGAAATAATGGTACTACAAACGAAATAATGGCACTACAAACAAAACAATGGTACTACAAACGTAACAATGGTACTACAAACGAAATTAACGTTACTACAAACGAAACAAAGGTACTACAAACAAAATTAACGTTACTACAAACAACTACAAACGAAATAATGGCACTACAAACGAAACAATGGTACTACAAACGTAACAATGGTACTACAAACGAAATTAACGTTACTACAAACGAAACAAAGGTACTATAAACAAAATTAACGTTACTACAAACAACTACAAACGAAATAACGGTACTACAAACGAAATTAACGTTACTACAAACAACTACAAACGAAATAATGGTACTACAAACGAAATTAACGTTACTACAAACGAAACAATGGTACTACAAACAAAATTAACGTTACTACAAACAACTACAAACGAAATAATCGTACTACAAACGAAATTAACGTTACTACAAACAGCTACAATCGAAATGATGGTACTACAAACGAAATAATGGTACTACAAACGAAGTAATGGTACTACAAACGAAATTAACGTTACTTCAAACGAAGTAATGGTACTACAAACCAAAATTAACGTTACTACAAATGAAATAATGGTACTACAAACGAAACAATGAATGTATGTAGTAAAAATCGTTCTGCAAAAATACTCGAAAAAAAATTTTTTTTTTTTGTTTTACTACAAACGAAAAAAATTGCACTACAAACCACTACTAACGTTTTTCTATACGAGTCAAGCGGAAAAAAATTTTTTTACCAACTTCGGAGGATGACATTTTTTTTGTTGTCTGTATTTTTTTTTTGGCACTACTACAAACGAAGTTAGCTTCACTACTATCTACTACTAACCGAAATCGTTTAAATAAAAAATAAGAATAATTGCAAACTATTTTATATTTTTGAGCATTTTTTCTCTTCTACTTTAAACGGAGATAGCATTATATTTAGCTTATACATTAGCTATTTTCATTTATTTACAAATTGGTATTTGTATACTATTTTAAAACATTATAGTTTGGCTTCATGTTTATTTCTATAACACTCTGTCTATAATAATTATTCTTTAGTCTAAGTAATTATATAATTATATAATAACACAATATTCAACTATTCACAGCTTGGGTTCGAGTCAAAGTGTATGTACGAATGAAACACCTCTTAACCAAACCATAGCGTGATTCAGTTTATAGAAATATTGTGTCAGCGCCATCTATTGAAGCAAGAGGATAATAAAGTTTTGGTACATTGAACGAGGTTGAAGCTCTAAAATTGCTGTCTAAATAAATATAAGTATAATATTTATATATAGAAAAATGAGAAGTATAATATAGCATTTTTCAACCTTATTGTCATCGATCATAAAACTACTAGATACACAATCCCATGCAAAAGTTCTATTAAAACTGTCACCAATTGTGTTTAGATAATTATTCTAGTTGAAATATATATACAACAATGTAAATTGAACCCGAATTGTACAAAATTCAAAAAGAGCGCTCATTAGGTGAGGACATCTTTTGTAGATGATTGTGTATCTAGTACTTTTTTGATCGATGCTTATTGTATTAATTAAATTGTCAATGTAAAAAAAAAAACAACATAAAAATTTTGCTGTATTAAACCTACCTAGAGATATTTTAATTTTTTTATTAGCCAGAGTCGATTTACATAATTGGACCCAGTTATGCAAAAAACAGCCTTGTGCATAAAAGTACCAAAAGAGTTATAAGAATTTTATTATAAAAAATAAAATAATTATAAAAATAAACAATACTTATATAAATATTGTTCTATTTTAAAATAACCAGAAAAACAAAACATAACCCAACTGCAACTATCGACAGAAAAATGCTTATAACTCTGTTTGTACTTTTACGCACATGGCTGTTTTTTTGCATAACTGGGTCCAATTATAATCTAGACTAGATCTAGGCTGTACGTTTTCTGTCAGTGTATCAGTGAATAAAAATAATGACATGAATTATTATTTGGGTTATTTTCTTTAATTTGATATTGAATTAGTTTATTTTTTGTTTTTATTTATTTTTACTTTATGTAGGCAAAATTTATTGAATCTAACTTTGCACTGTGTTTCTTTTTTACTTGTGAAAACTGTTTTGGCTAATGTACATATATGTTATTAATTCTATTCATATGTTATTAATATTCTATTAATAAAAGCTGTATGTTTTTCTTAATAAACAAATAAAAGAAGTGATAATTATAATTGTTAAGTAAGTGAATTAACAGACTAATGTCCGATTTCACCAACATCCCATAAGATACCACCTACATATGGGATTCCTAGCTTAAACGTTCCCCTAAACTAGCCCCTAAATTAAATTTCCGTAACACTAGCCCCTAACTGTCGGTGAAACAGAAACTGTCCCCTAACAGCCCCTAACTATGCTTAGGGGATCCCTTAAAATTAGGTGACGTTGGTGAAATCGGCCATAAGAAGTCCATACGAACTTACCAGTATTAGTGAGATTGCAATAAATATGACATAATATACACAAATGACTAATACTATCTTAGATTTACGCGAATATTTGACATTTTTAAATAAAACTATCTTTTCGGGTTATTTCGTGGATTTATTTTGATTTTTGGTTCCCGACATTTCGAATGCTTTACAGCAATCATGGTCAGCAGAGACTAAGGTATTAGACGTTTCAAAGACGTTATATACTTGTTACAGACAGTGTTTCAAAAATTTAGAAATCAAAATAAATCCGCGAAATAATCCGAAAAGATAGTTTTATTTAAAAATACACAAAGAAAACTAACATACTTAGTAAAATACTTCAAATTAGTCTCTGAGACAGTTAAAAGGCGGAAAAGCCGATACGCTACAGTGTTCGTATATAATTACGTGACATAATACAAGACGATTATTTAAAATATATATATATATATATATATCATAAATATAAAGTACAATGAGATATTAGCACTACAAAAATTACATGCTTCAAATTTATTACTATATATCACAAATAAAACTTACATTAATCTATTATTTTTTTTTTAAATAATGATTAATGTAATGACACATGCTAAATAAAAAGTAACAGTTTATATCAAACATTCATTTTGATATAATTCAAGTGGTAAGTAAATAAATGCCCAACAGAAAGTTTATTTATTTTCGGTTCAAACACTAAACTCTGTTAATTTAAATTTAAAATAAATTTCTATTTCTATGCATTACATGTGTTTCAAGTAAATAAGATATTTGAAAAACTAATAACTACAAGTGATACAAGAAAACAAATCAAAAAGAAAAAAAATTAAATCAGGCATCTAAAAACAACTAACTAAAAAAACCTGACACAACACTAACAAAACAACAGCACCTACAATCATCAATCAAAAATGTACTAGATACACAATCCCATGCAAAAGTTCACTTAAAACTGTCACCAATTGTGTTTAGACAATTATTTTAGTTGAAAACAAATATACAACAATGTAAATTCAACTTTAAATGCAATACTTAAAGATGTTTTTACAACAACAACAAAAAAATTAAAAGCGCGCCAAAACATTTAAAAGAGCGCTCATTCGGTGAGGACATTTTTTGTCGCTGATTGTGTATCTAGTACTTTTTAAATCGATGCCTACAATCTACAATACACAACGAAAACAACATCCAAAAAAACCAAGCAACAGACCTAACCATTCATCATCTTACCATGCATTACGAAAAAGACCTTCGGATCGAAATCCTTTTCCTCCATTTTATCCGCCATTTTCCATACCTCTAACAGCTGATCTCTTGATGCTGGATGGTGTAGCTGTCACAGATAAGACATATATTAGACTCACCGTGTAACATGAAGAACGCTTTCGGATCAAATTGTTGGTCCATGTGGTCCTGTTTCTCCCAAACCTCCTCTAGTTGTTGTTTAGAGCCCGGGTGGTGGAGCTGTCATCAATTTTGGATGTTTATATTATATGCAATAAGATTATTCGATTTATCCAACATCGATTTTATCGCAATAAGATTATTGTATTTCCCCAACATCGATTTTCTTGCAATAGATTTATTTGATTCCCCTAACATCGATTGTTTTGTTCAATTTTTGTTATATCTTTAGTAAAATCTATATATTCACCAACATCGTTATATTTTTTCCAATGTTTATTGTAGCTTACAAAAATCGATATATTCCTATCAAATGAACACGCTTTCAATAATTTTTTTATAAACGATACGAATTTAAACAATTATCGATATTTTTAAGTATTTTTTCTTTGAGAATTTTATCACTTTCTAATTAATATGATAGCTCCAGTGCCATTACACTATGAACGTACTGTAGTCATATATTGAATAGCCAAAAAATAAATACAATAAAGTAAAAAAGTAATAATATCACTAACATTACCATCGACAATACAAGCTTTAGCTTATAGATAAGTTCGAGAAAACACTCGTTGGATCTTTATGATTTAAAAAAAAACGACGAAACGTTTCGCTCAGTTCGTAGTGACCCTAAAATTAAAATACTAAAGGATATTCACGTTGATCAATTAAAAAAAACGCAAATTTTTGCGTTTGTATCGACACAAACGCGCGTTGTAAGCACGTTAAATAGTCGTCGTGTGTATCACTACATATTATAAAATAAAGTTCCCCAACGCGTCTGTTTATCTATGTGTTTTATTTTTTTATTTTTTTATATATGTAATTATATATAAATATATATTAAATTTATATGTAAAATTTTAAAATAAAAAATGTACCACCACTAGAAGGCCCTATAATCTTCACTACTTTAGCCCTATCAAATGTGAACATTCTTACCGGTTGGTGATGTTTTTTTGCTTCATCCTGTTTTTTCAACGACTCCATGTACTCTTTCTTTTGCGTGTCGTCCATATGTTCAATTTTTTGTTGTTTTTCAAACTCCTTTTGCATTTCATATTCCTAAAATAAAAGTAGATATAAAAAAATATTTCAAGTATACTTTTTACTATAGAGACTCTACCATAAATTCATTTTTTGTGGAGAAAACAACCAAATTTTTGGCCAATATAATATTGTTCTCCCGATAGATTCCGTCCACGGCCAATCTCATTGAGACTAGTTACCGCAGAAGATATTATAGTGCACAAGTGTTCGAGCAGACACAAGTACACTCTCACACTCCGGTGAGACGACAGGAGACACTCGCGGTGAGTGTCGGCGCAGGACCGACGGGAAACGAGCTCTCCGAGGCACGGGGTTGTTACTGAGAATATCTTAAAAACTCAGTAGTTAAACTTGGTTTGGTAAATAACTAACTAGCAATTATTGTTATAGACATTACTTATAAAAGGTTTAATTTAAAAGTTTACTTACAAAAGGTATTACCATTTAAAAATCAGTATTATAACTGCGTACATATTAATTTTTTTGAGCGGAACCCTTATTCTTTTTCTAAAATAAAAGTAGCGTATGTTACTCCATATATAACATCAACTATCTTCCAGTGAAAGTCCTGTCAAAATCAGTCCAGCCGTTTCAGAGATTATCCAGAACAAACAGAAAAAAATTTAAAAAAATATATTTTTCTAATAAGTAACATATATAATTTCATATGCATTTAGTAGAACGCTGTTATTTTGCCATTACAAACAGACATTTCAATTTTATTTATCTGTATAGACTAAGCGTCATTTATGATCTCTCATTAAATGGCTGTGGTGCTCTCAAGGTCCACGTTGCCATTAGAGAAGTACCAAGATTCAAGAACAACCCGAATAGATAGATTATGACCTGGACTGGACCTTACGTGCTTTTCCAAAAGCATCCCCTTAAAAGAAATAAATACTTTCAAAATCAAACTCGACACGAACGAAGCCGCGGGCAAAAGGTTAGTCTGAAACAAAAAAATATATGCAAAATACCTTAAACTCTTCCCGTCGCTTTTTATCAGCGGCTTCCAAATCAGCAGTCGTCTTATGTATTAACTTCTTCAGATCTTCTATCTCGAATGTGTGAGGGTTGGTGTGGTCCAAGTGTTCGTTGGTCACCATCTTGTTAACTGGCACTTTGCCGTGAACATCCAAGTTATTTGTTAACTCGAATTGCTGAAAAGAAAAACCGGCATCAAAAAAATGTGTGTGTCTACTTATGTACGCACGTAAGAAGTTATACTTCTATGGCGTAACAGAACAAAAATAGCTAAAGATTTCATCCCGTATGTCACAACTCTCTGTTTGTAAAAGGAATGCAGCTAACTTCATCGTATAAATTTTACTCTCATATATTTTCCCAAACGTGCCAAAAGAAGTATAACTTCAAGAACTGTAAACAGTAAAAAATAACTGATTGGGAGTTTCCATTTTCTATAGATACCTAATCAGATATTTCCGAAGTCGGTGCCAGCCTACAATGGTTTAAGATATGAATAGCTAATAGGTAAATATGACAAACTGTAAACTCTAATAATTATAGTTAAAATATTATACATCAATTTGTGATATATTAATACGTATGGAAATAGATTTGCTTTGCTTTGCATCGGCTGGCACCTATATTTCATACGAATAGAAAAATTCCAATAGAAAAACAATAATCGAAATCGGACCACACTAAAATTTTATGAGTGGTCTACACAAAAAAAATACAATTGTTAAAATCTTACATATAATAAACGGAATCCGTCAAAATAAATGTCAAAGTCAAAACTAGTAGCGTGATTTATTGTTTATGCTACCATTCTCGATTTGCCAAACAGACTAAAAATGTCAAATATTGGCGTAAATCTAAGAAAATATTAACAAATCTAATGTTAAATAACAATAATAATGACATATATTACAATACCCTGGTGGCGAGATGACGGAGTCGCTCTAACTCGCGACGCTTTATTTCATCCAATTTGGTCCGTACATTATGATTAACAAAGTCCAGTTGTTCCGCTATTTTGCCGGACTGAAACGTTGAAAACATTTTACTTTAAAATAAAAATAAACATATTAATAGATTTGATAAATCTTAATATAGTAGCACCATGAAACTGAGCTTCCATTGGCGTTTTTTTTGTATAATTGTGTTTTTTTGGGAAATGTTACGTTTTTTTTGAATTAGCACATATATATAGATGAATCTTTCATCATACCAAATTTTATCAAAATCCGTCAAGTGGTTTACTGGTGATGCGTTCCCAGACAGACAGACAAAAATTCTAAAAGCTATACATTCGGCCTCTGTATCATCGATAATAATGACTATTTCAATAAGATTTTCTAAAAAATACCAGACCCAGAATTTTATTATATGTATACATATAGATAAATATACAAAAAATTCTCATTTAATACTATATGATAGTAAATCATAAAAATCATAGGTATAAAAACATTATCAAGGTCCCAAAGTCAATTTCTAACAATCGACCGAGCGATAACACGATTGTTGACTTAAACTTTCGCTTACTCTTAACAACGTATTACGCAATCTAATTGTTTATGTGGTGGCCAGATCGTAAAATGAATCGAAAGTACACGACTATCTCGGAAAATTACACACCATATACATACATTTGTCAATAACAAAAATAAAGGACTGGATCAATTTGGATGAAATTTTGTGTGTATAGTCCAATGGGCTCCTGGATGGTTTGAAAACACAAATGGACCCAGTAGGTGGCGCTGCAGTCGGTGTGCCACTGATTATCTTCTAAACGGCAGGGACGATTTTGAAGATATTTTTTGTGTATGTTCGAGTGGATCCCTGCAAGGTTTGAATTCACAAATGGATCCGGTAGGTGGCACTGCAGTCGGTGTGTCACTAAATTTTCATAAAAAAACTCTATTTTCCGACCAATAAATTTTAAATTGTTGATTAAATAAAATAAAAATCGATGTGTGTACGTATGTTTCCTATGGACTCCAAAGCAGCTGGAGCGATTTTGATGAAATTTTCAGGTAATCTTCAGATTAGCCCAGCGGGTGATATTGTGAATTTTGTTAGCGATCGGAACTTTGAAGGCGGGCGAAGCCGCGGGTACTGCTAGTAATATTATATATTTGTCAGACAATGCATTCCATCTCATTCACAACATGGCACTTTATTCCATCTCATTCTCTCGCCGGCTTAATCCTATAGGTATATTACGTATTTGTCTCTATTTCGTATAACATTTCCGTTTCATCGAGTCTCAAATCACAACAATTCTAAAGAAGTTTCACTTCAGAAAAGATTCTAATTTAAAAAAAAACCCAACAAGAAGTCCAAGGTTCTTACTATAATCCGAGCGCATGTTATCACAATACGTACCACACAATTGTCAAGATATGCTAATAATTATAAGGTCATCGCATAAAAAAAAGTATAAAAAACACGCTATCAGTACTTCTATAAGTGAACAATACAACTACATCGTGAAAAAGCCGTGTTCTTTGTTAATATCTTCAAATGATCTCTTTTTCAAGTTACATCATTATATGGTCAACAAACAATGTCTATGTTATGGTAAGTTTCCATGATCTGGCCACGAGATAGTACAGCATGCGGTGAAAGTCAAGTGAAGCGTGTTCACTTGCTAACACGGTAAAGGAAAACATGGCATGAAAGCGTGCATGTCTGAAAGAACCTAACTAAGACTTAACTAGACTTAAGACGTATGAAGGCCTAACCCGCACTAGGCCAGTGTGGTGGACTACGGCCTGGCATCGGGGAAAGACCCGTGCCCAGAAGTAGAACATTAAAATTGGATAAATCTTTATCATGATTATAGATTTCTCAGAGTTTGTGTCTTAACGTTTAGTATAAATTTCTCAGAGATGAGGTATTTTCTCGCAGTCAAATGTATCCTATATGTTGGACCCGGATAACTAGCTATCGTCATATCAAATTTCATTAAAATCCCTCCAGTGGTTTTTCCGTGTTGCGGTAACAGGCAGAAGAAAATTCTAAAAATAGAGAGTAGATGCAGCCTCTGTATCGAGAATAATATCTATTTCAATAAGATTTTTCAAAAAACATTTAATGTACAGATTCGGCTTAGTTACAATTTTATTATATGTATGTTAAATCGTATTATGTACTAGCACTAGCGACTCACCTTCGCTTCCCTCGGGTTCATCCCTAGATGGTTCTTTAAAATAGCATCACTTTTTGTTTATGAACCGATTGAAATAAAACAAATACTAAATGTTAAGTGAAGATTTCAACAATATATTAATGAAAACCGCACCCAAATCGGTTAAGCCGTTTCTGAGATTAGCCACAGACAAATAGAGACAAAAAATCTAAAAATCATTGTTTTGTGTTCTTTTGCGTTATTAAAAACACAGTAGTAATCTTCCATGTACAGACAGCGATCATAAATTCATTATATGTATAGATTTTTTATAGAAAAAGGGGCAAACGAACAAACGATGCCTTTGAAAACATGACTCCTGAAGAACGCCATATTATAATAACAATAATACATATATTATAGCGCTCCGGGAAAACCTAAGGAGGAAGACCGTTCCACAATTTACACGTGCGGGATAGAAATAAACATGACGCAAGTCAAACATTTGAAAAAAAATCTATGTTACATCATCGTTTGAAATGATTTCTTAAAAAACTTGTTGCAATAAATACTTAGGGAGAGGCACTCACTTCTCTAAAACGATACACAATAAAACAAAGCTGAGATAAGAAAATACTTACACGAACATCTTCTTCATTAGCTTTCTCTAACCGCTCTCTAAAGTCTGGGTCGCTTTCAAGTGCTTGCACTACTTCTTTTAAGTATCTATGATATTCTGTGTATTCCGCCTGTAATTTATTACAAAGAAAACTAAAATTAATATATGTATATAAAACTTCAACGTTATTATAAAAGTGCTACCGAATGTGTCTATATATATATATATATATATATATATATATATAAAGTCTATTATACATATATTTGAATTCGCATTTGACTCTGTTTGTAGTGACCCCACTTGCTGTGCCAGCGATCGCGGGTTCGAGTCCCGCTGGGATTTATTTATTTATTTATGTACCTTAAAATATATGTTATACAAAAGAAAGTAACAGAATGTCAACAAAAGATAACTTATCTCTTTAAGAGATTTCTTCCACATATGCATTAATGTTTCTGCATTGGGTGTTTATATTTATATTGTATGTATATTTAAAGTTATATATATGTAGTGTATCAACTATCTAGCATCCATAACACAAGCCTCGTAGCTTATCATAGAACTAGATGGTACTGTGTGTTAATGTCCTAACATATTTAAGCGTTTGACATTCGCAGATTTTTATAATTTCGCTATTATCACAGTAACAACAAAAAAAGCGCGTATGCGACAAATAATAACTAAATTTTCACTTGCAAGTAGAGGAATTGGGTGGAAGTGATAAGTGAGCTTACATATATTTTCTACCACACAACACGTGAGCCAAGCTGCGATAGAACATTCATAAATATTATGTTATCTATGTACCAACTAGTTGATTCATTTCGCAATGTAAACAAAAGTCAATTAGCCCTAATATTAGCGTATCTTTATAAGCGGATGTTGCGAATTCGATCCCCGCAAGGTTACATGAACCAGTAATTGTGAGCTTGAATGTTATATATTAAATTACATTAGCACTATTATTTGTAATAAACGAAGAAACAGGTCGAAAATAAATTAATACTGTTTGATTTGGTTTTTCTGTCATAAGTATGTATGCAGTATAATGAAATGCATCGTCCCGTAAAGTACTTATTCTGACACGTCAGCTGATTACATCAGAAATCTCGGGATCGATTCCCGTTCAGGGCAAATTCTTATATTGACTAATTAAGATTTATAGAATCGATATGTTTTACGATATATCAAAGATATAAACGGACACATAAAAACAAAAAATTGTGTTAGTTAAATCACAATAAATCCATATTGACAATTTTAATACTTTTATAAATCATTTAATATTAATATTTGATTAATAAGATTTGTTATCTGTAATAATTTTTTTTACGATAAGTATTGACTTAATCAAAGGTGGAAATTCTTATCTGCATATTATAGTACACTGTAATTAAAACAATCCACGGTAAATTAAATCTTATTCATGCTCAAAACAACATATATGCTGCGGCTCTACTTGTATTTTAGTCGCAAATAGCATAGATATCTAATTTATATTTAAAATCAAAACAAAATGCTACTTGTTGGTACCGATTTGTGTATTTATTTAAAATTTTCATAATAGCCCATGTTTATATAATAAAAATTACAAAAATTGACTCAACAATTGGGATAATTAGGAAACACTGAGTGCTTCTCTATAGGATTTAAGATTAAATGTAACTTACTGGAATAACTCTTATATCCTCAACATATCCATATAGGTTTTTGTTTTGAAATACATATTACAATGAAAAATTACTATCATAAGAATATATATGAGTCATAGATATAAAAACATCTATAATAATTAATAAAGCAAGTATTAAAAATTGCAATATATGCAGTCTGTTTGTACAAAACAAGCAGACTGCAAAAAATAAATGAAGTTTTATGTAATAATTATAATGAAAAAAAGTTGCTTTAAAAAACTGGAACTAATGCGACAAGTCTCTATGAAAATTGATTATACCAAACACCTCTGATAATTATATTCGCATAAGCATAACATTTTTTTGAAAAATTGTATTCGCATAATTTTGCTATGGAATTTTGATCTTATAACGGTTTCTATCAGCACTATACATATATGTCTTTCAAATAAACTAGCTTTCCTTCTAGAAGCCTCATTGTCATTGTTTTTGTTATTAATAAGACAATTTTCCTGTTGGGTGTTTTCTAAACATATTTTATTACAAGCGACTCACCCTCGGCCCTCACTCGATTTTGTCTAGGTGATTCTTTAAACTGATATAATTTCTATATTTACGAACCGATTAAAATAAAACAAATACTTAATGTTAAGTGAAGCTCACCACAATACATTAGTGAAAACCACACCCAAATCTGTTAAGTAATTTCTGAGATTAGCTCACAACCTCACAGTCAAACAGACAAAAAATTTACAAATCATTGTTTTGGGTTTTATTGTTAGTGCAGACCCCCAGTAAAAGTTTTTCTCCATGTGCAGACAGCGATCAGTCACACTTATTATATATATATATATATAGATTTTCTAAAAAAACAAATTATACCATGACAGATATAAATTGAATTATAAAATTTCCTTCAGTAAAATTTCTGTAAACAAAATTCTCATAATACATACTTATATTACTAAAAAGCATCAATAATATGTTATGGATAGTGTATATCAAAGTATACTACATATCTATAAGTAGTAAAAAACAAGATATATGTATTGTTAATATAAGATGATCTTTATCTTAATTTCCTAACAGAATATTAACAGTCAGAAGACTAAGAATAGTTATTAGGACTTCTCAGTCTATATTTAAACAGCCTAAACCAGTTTGAAAAAGAAGTTACCCTTTTATAATCGAGAGAAGGGATGGCAATTATGTTCTCTTATAATTCAAGGTCATAACAAAACAGCAAAACAATTATAAAATACAGGATTTTCATAACAGCTTATGAAAGTGAAATCATATCTCAAACATATTTATAGCCAGGGTTAATGTTTAAATAACAAGTAAAGGAAATTTTTAACAATGAAAAACAACAAAACATGAGTCATTCAAAAGTTGTAAAGTGTTATTGTCACTAAAATAACTAGGCTTAGTACCAAAATTTACAGATTACGGAAACTTACCAGGTCATCAGTTTCGCCTTCTGGCTCTTTAGATTTATCTGGAGAGACTGGAGGAGCGTAGGAACAATGTAAAATAACAGCTATAAAAGTTAAGTATGTAAACAGCCTCATTGTGACCTGGAAATAAAATTCTTGTTCATTTGTATGTTTTATTAATAATATTAAATAATAACTTATACCTTACATTAAACAGACACAAAACTAATAACGAAGTAGATTAATTATAAATTGAGACTTTCTAATTTTTTGTGTTCTAATTTTACTAAGATAATTCTTATTTGATCTAAGACACTTGTATAAAATTAAACAACAATTATTTTACATATATCTGTAGAATTAATTTATTAAAGAGTTCACTCTAAAATGTATGTAAATACTATTACAAAAAAATGTATAAATAAAACAATATTTCACAATTAATTCGCTGAATTACGTTAACGTCAATGGTATTTCCCTTAGAAGTTAGAACCTACATTTCCCTTCCTACGAGAGAATATCGACAAATATGTACATATAACCAGAAAATAACAAGCTAAAATAATAATGTACTTCTGTATTTAATCACTGTTTATATTATATATGTATAATAAAATTGCATCGCTAATAAGCACAATAAAAAAACACTAACCTTAAAATTGGCGTTCTTTTAACATATAAATAAGTTCACTAAATTGAATGCTACAAAACAAATTTTATTAAAATCCAATTATTTTGAAAACCTTCTCGACACCATGACGTGTCGTGTCCCAATCAAAAATCGTGTATTTAGTATTGCCATGTGAATTGAAGACATCAACAAAAACACAACTTCGAAGAAAAAATAACATTCAATAAAATTAAAAACTTAAATTCATGTTTTTCGTTTTTTTCCGAAAAATACATTGGTGTAATCAGTTTATAAAAATTTGGTCAATAAAGTACACTTTTTTAATGATAATTGAAAAAACTAAAGTTAATAAAGTAAAAATTACCGACTTTTTAAATTTTTAAATTTTTTAAGGGTGTTTTTACAGGACAACCATACAATGTTTTTATTTGCGCTTTATAATGAGCCCTATCTGAAAATTGAACAAAACAATTTTTCAATGTATACACTAATCGTCCACTTGAAGTTGAGGGTGAGGTGAATTTTCAGCCTCTCAAGACCATACTTAGCTAAACATTTCCATTTCATTTTTTTTTTATTATATTATATTTTGAAGTTTACATTCCCTTAGTTTTATGAAAATTAAAACATTATTCTACAAATAAAAAAATATACATAAAACAAAAACAAAAAATTAAAAACCGAGTTTTTGCCAATATCTCGAAAACGTTGAGGTAAATAGTGTAAAGTGTTATTTATATAAGTTGTAAATTTTTACTAAACCTACAAATTTTGTAGAAAACATTTTGCGATAAAACGCCACAGTAAACCGAAAATCGAAAAAATATATTTTTCAACGCTTTGCATCCCCCCATTTCTCCCTTCTCGGGGGTAGCTGGGCATAGGGGCATTTTACGAATTTCTATTCCATAAAATACCTGCTGACATTTTCAAATCATATCACTTCCGGCCACCAATGTACTCTGTGCTTCCGGCTTTCAATATTTTGTATCCAAACCGGATTCCGATTGGACCACTAGTATAATATAAAAAATATGTAATAATATAAAAAATATATTAATAGATGAAATATATTTTACATGTACTTTATATTCTTAATATTCACTATATTTTATTAAATAATCTTGGTAAATATTTTATTATTTGTTGAGAGCTTCTAAATTTTTAATGTCTGTGGTGTTTTTCGTTACAATGGATTATTTTTATTAATCTGTCATAGTCCATAGACAATAGACATTAAGAAATCAATACTTGAATTCATCAATAATCATAGACCAGGAACAACAAGACAAGAATAAAAAATCAATACCTAGGAGCTAGGAAGTAGAACCTAGGTACCATTTTGTGAATTGAATATTTTACTTCAGGACGGTTGCAGTTATTTACCTGCTTAAAAAGTAAATACAATATCACGTTACAATGAACCCAAAAGATAAACGCAAAGTTGAGTATTTAGTGGAGTTAGAGTCGCAGTTCATCATGCGACTACCCGAGGAGCCTTCTAAAGTATTGAGAGAATTACTTAGATCTGGTGAGAATATTAAAAATCGATTAACTATTCAGATTGAAAACGATATGCGAAATGGAGAAGTGAGATTTGATCATTGGCTTATGCATGCCAAGATCGTGGACTTACCTACAATAACAGAATCTTTGAAAACAATCGATAACAAGAGTTTTTATAAGACGGCAGACATTTGTCAAATGATGATATGTAAAGAAGAGCCTGATCAAACACCGTCAGAAGAAGAATCGCCTGCTAAAAATAAGAAAAAAGATCCATATAAAGTTGATAAAAAGTTTTTGTATCCACATGGAGTAACACCACCAACCAAGAATGTTAGAAAAAGGCGTTTCAGAAAAACTTTAAAAAAGAAATATGTTGAAGCACCTGAAATAGAAAAAGAAGTAAAAAGATTGTTACGAGCAGATAATGAAGCAGAAAGTTCAACTTATGAAGTAATAAAAGAGGAAGATGAACAATATAACAAACCAGAGCCAATACCGACTCCTACTACTACTACTACTCGTAAACCAGAGAAAAAGCCAAAAGCTGAACGTAACAGCAAAAAAGAGACTGTTACTTCAGCTAAAGCTTCTAGTCAAGAGCCATCAAATGTTGTTGACATCTTTGGTGGTGCAGTCAGTGATAGTGATGTCGAGGATGATAAAGACAACATTAAAGTGGAGTTGGAAGATAGTCGCTTATCTGCCTATGACAGTCGATTGTCTGATAATAGCTCAGTTGTTGGAATTGGTGAGATGCAAAGAAGAGATCCGTATCCCATAGAATTTGAGTCACAAATGTTCCATGCTCATAGCAGCAAAAAGTCTAATAGAAGCCGTGCTGTAACTCCTGCTACTTCAACTGTAACAAGGAGTGGTGGTTTGTCATCTGAAGACGATAGCGAGTATCCATCACGAGACATGTCTAAAGATGATATGAGTTTGAAGATAGAACAACTGAGGACAGAGCTAGAGGAACTTAAGCAAAGACGACAGAGAACTCAGCACGAAATCGCTGGTATGGAGAACTTGGCACTACGTCAGAGATTCCAGGATATCTTGCACACTCTTAACCAGGATGTTATGTACAAGGAAATGGAATATCAGGGCCTTATAACATTACAAAACTCTGAGGATATTTGAGGAACGTATTTCCTAAAAATGTAAGAGCCATAATGATTGGACTCTTGTGAAAGTGACACTTGTTAAGTGTAGTGATGTTTTTTTACATATTTTATTTTTAATTTACATCCATTACTTTAGTTTTAAGAAAGTTTTATTATATGGTTATGATAATTGAAGTTAAATCTTGTTTTAAAATTGTTAAATTCGAAGAACCGCAGGTTTTTACTCTATATGATTTAGTATGAAGTGTTTTTCATTTATAAAAGTTATTTTTTTAAATTTCTATTTACATAACTAAGGTAAGAAAATCAAGAAGTTTATTGTTTGTATAAGATGAATTTTGATCTAAAAAGTGTTTAGATTTTAGTTGATGATAATATATTAATACTGCTAAAAAAATAATTTTGTATTTAGAAAATTTATTATCAGTAATTCTGTCTGTCTTGTAACTGGCTGAGAAACAAAATATGTCATATATTTTCAGATATCTTTGAATAATTTTAAAATTGGTATTAAAATATTGTTTAAATATGTTACAAGGCTATTTGAATTCTGATAGCCTTATGGTATATCGTATGGTAATACATATCAGACCTCTTCAGCTTCAAAAATATAACAAAATTTTACTTTATTAGTATTAAGAAATTTGTAAATAATCAATAGCTTAAGAAAATCTCAATATACATTTTTCTTACATTTATTTTAAAATATTTTTTGACATTTAATTAAAATACCTTGAATAGAAAATTATTTACTTGTCATGGACTTTGGCTATATTTTTATATGTTATTGTTTTACTGTTCAAGTACTATACATTAATTAAATAACATGTCTTAAATAATATTACATTAATTTTAAGCATAATATATAATAATATGATATATCTAGAAGATAAGTGTAATCATAATCATTTTCTATATTATATTATTAACAACATACATTATACAATACAAGCGACTGCCCCTCGCTTTGCTTGGGTTCATCCCTACATACATGTTAACGGATAGTATGGAATAGATAGAATATATATATTATATTATACAAAGGTATAATGAGTTATGGGTTGTATTACAACATGGATTCCACGAGAAATCGTGGGAATGAGATAATCTCCTGCGGTAAAAAGTGGCTTATGTCACTCTCCCAACTATCTCCACACAAAAAATCACGCCATCCGACGTGAAAGAAGGATAAACAAACACACTTTCAAATTTATAATATTAAGTATTTCAAACATGGTAGTAATAAGGTTCCGTATTTGAATATTACATATTACAGTCAATGCTCTTTTCTCATATTAATAATAGTCCCCCTTGTAATATTCAATGATTCAAATTTATTACAATAATTTTAATAATACTAGATTATATGTATTAAGATATTAATGTAGTTATAGAGAATTATTTTTTAATGATATAAATTTTTTTACTTAAAAATATAATAATATAAACTTTTTGAAATTTGACAGACTTTTTGAAAATTATGATAGGTATATAAAATAATATCAAGCTGACAAACAGACATACGGTTGAAGGTTGTGTTAATGGGGTTATGATCGGCCCTCTGACTGAAAGATTACAGAAGGTATAGAAAAATAAATGTGAAGACAAACTCGTGTTTCCCTTCCCACACAAGAGGACACAGTGGGAAAGGAAACCGTATTATTAGTATTTATACTATACCATAATTTAACCATACCATGTTGGTGTGGTTAAATGATGTTATGGCAAAAATGGTGTATTTGCAGTCTGGGCCAGTCTATGATATGTAAATGGGAAGAGGGAGTTGAAATGTCTACTGTCACTCATAAGTAAATCAATGTTATGTGTATATGTATTTTAATAATAATATAATCATAATATTTACTGTAGAATTATGGTATTAAAAATTTGGTAGTGTAATGATTTTAACCAGTTTATTCAATGATTGTATTAGTTACTAGTAGTTTTCGTGGTGGGGGGTGAGTGGGGGTCTCTTTAACGTCCGGCAATCCAGCCGGGAGCGAAGCCAAGAAACGTACTAGGAGGTAGCGCAATTCGGTGGGCGGTGTACGATGCGGGTTGCTCCTGCTACTTCTCTGATGGCAGAGTGGACCGTTGGAGCAGTATTATAATATGATCTGTGGTTGGAGCAACCCCATGGTTGTTGTGGTCTGCTTCGGCAGACCTGCCGTCGGGGCGTCGTGGTTGAGTGCTTAATCGACCTGCGGCACCCCATTAAGACGGGGGAGGATGTTGGGTTTTAGTGGGTAGTACGGTCTTTGCCGGTGAGTCCCATCTGTGCGTGAGCGCACCTGTATGCGTGCAGATGGTACGCGTAAATGCATTAACCAACGTTGAAAAAAAAAATGTACTACCTAGTAGTTTTAAAACTAAAAATATTTATGTAGTTAGTAGATACCTATATATTAAATTCGAAAAGAAAGAAAAGTTTGGCTTTAGCTAAAAAGGGAATAAATAAAGTCTGAGTTGGTTTACTAAAACGTGGTATATATGCATATTATTATCGAATTCAAAATTCAGATAGATGGGTGAGAATATATTTTTAATAAATGTTACATACATAATTTAGTCGTATACCATATATATGTAGTACACTTAAATATTGATGTTTATGCACTTATACTTAATCCAGCACTATTATACGTAGTGATTATATCCGCAGTCTGTAGTTATTAATAAATGTTATTTATCGTCAACTCTTACTGTCTGTCTATTGTCATACAAAGATGAATAAAAAAATTAAAATATAGGTATTGATTTTTATTTTAATGAATTCACATTTTTTAATTAGGTATGTTTCACGTGTGGATGGTTGGAACTGCGTTATGTTTGAAATTAATGAAATTAAGTATCCATTATGATTTATATACTTTAGTTAATATATAAAATTGTATATCCTAAAGAATTCTCGTAATAAGTAATTATTCATGCGAAAAGAGTTCTACATCAAAGTACAATATTATAGTTGATGAAATCGTTGGCTTAAACTTTAAATAGACACCTAATCTTTTCACATCTTGAGAGAATTCGATAGATTTATTATTTTTTCTATTAACAAGTGATAAAAATTTAATGTAGATAGGCATCGTTTTTAATAAATAATAGGACCTATTGAGATTTGAGCTATCTTCGACGATTGATATTTGATAATAAAAGGAAGAAAGAGGAAATAAATGGATTTATGGCTTTATTCTGGGGCGGAAATGAGGCTTTATCGATATCCTTTGCTGCTGAAATTCAATTACAGGTAACTAGTTAACTGCTAAAATTAAATTGTATTGGTACTTGGTATCGATCAGCGACCTACACAATTTGATGAATTCTAGTCGATACATTTTACCCACGAATGTAATCGATTTGAATCGAATTTAGGAATATGAATTTTAAAAATATAAATATAATGGAGATGTTTCATGACTTTCTATAAATCTGAAAATTAAAATTTAAGCTGAACATAAAAAAAATGTAAAACAATTACGAGTAAGTGACATTTGAAAGTTGCTCGGCCGCTCGGTTTCACTTTAATTGTCAACCATGGTTTCATACACAAACTTTAGAGAAATGCTACGCATGTTTCAAGTGACGTTAACCGACTCGAATACATTGCATTATTACATTAATTTTTTTTGGTAAATTGCCACTTTGTCAGTGCATCAATTTCCATGCTGTTCAACCTAATATTCTTGAAAGTTATGTGTGTTTGAATACAGATAATATTATCTTGTTATTTATTAACGTGAGTCAAAAGCTAGTTAAAAGTATTAAAAGATCGATGATTAGCTTATATTCGTTTAAATCGATGTTAAAAAGATCGCAACTCACAATTCACATTTTACATCACTAATGCCAAACGGACTAGTGACGACTGACGACTGGACAGTAGACAGTAGTCAAGTCGGATTTTTGTAATAATATCGAAATTATAAAACGGTGTTAGTTTTTTATAGCACTCTACATGACTCTACGAAATATATAATACGCTCTAAATATTGTGATTGTTTGGACCCATATAAAGACTTATTATTATAGTTAAACATAACCCGGTGTTAATCTTTGCTCTCCACTGTATAATTCGGTTTTGGACTTTATAAAGAATATCAAAAATGGATTTTAAAATGCATGAGTATACCCATGCTGTGGTAGGGAAAGTGACTGCTCTCCGTGCCACCGACAAAGCCGATCTAAATGACGCTCGTCGTCAGTACGATTATTATTTGCGGCTTTTAAAAGAACTTAATTTGGAGCTGATAGAAGTAGAAACTGATGCATTTTTCCCTGAAAATATCGTGTTTGAAGATCTAGCTATCATCTGCCATGGCATCGTGCTCATTCCTAGACCTGTATCAAGTACAGAAGAGATTATTGTAAGTTATAATTATTGTTACTGCCACGCCTTTATATATTTCTCTTTCTTTATTTACAAATTTATGCTTTACTTGTACTTCTACTAATACTTCTAATTCTACTGGGACAATACTTACTAAATGTCACTGTTAGGTAATTATCTAGATATAATATGTTAAAGACTTAAGAACTCAATGTGTAACTATAGATGTATTTAATTGATAGGAATAAAGCTATGTTGTTCATTCAGACAATCTTGTGTGGTTGCAATAAACAGACAAACATAAGAAATCTGAAAACCACAGCTATATTATATACTAGCAACTCACTATTGCTTCCCTCGTGTTCGTCCCTAGGTGATTCTTTAAATTAACATAACTTTCTTATTTATGAACCGATTGCAATGAAACAAATACTAAATGCAAAGGAAGCTTATTCTTTCTTCTCTTTCTTGTCAGATTAGTTGAACGGATCTGGATGAAATTTAGCATGGATAGATTATAGTCTGGAATAGCACATAGGCTTTACTTTTCATCCCAGAAAAATGTATTTTTCCAGTGGGATAAATTGGTTTTTGTTTTTCACTACGGACAAATCCAAAGCGTAGCGAGACTGAGTTGTTAGTATCTAATATTATAAAGTTGAAGAGTGTTTCTTTGAATTTTCTTTTTGTCATTTAATAGCCTTTTTATTTATTAAGTTTGTTACCTGGCTAACATTATCCCATCTAGGAGTGTTATGTTTTAATCTTGCTCAAAAATAATAAAATAATCAATGAAGCAATGGGATAAAACTAGTATTGAAATGAGATTTTAAGTATTTACACAAGGTCAGTTTGAGTCAGCTTAACTAGTTCATTAGAATGAATTAACTTTTTTATAAGCCTTTGATTTACATACAGGTGTAAAAGAATTCATTATCTCAGTAAGGTTACATATTTAATATTACTATACTAATATCATAAAGAGGTGTATTTGTTTTAATGCACTAATCTCAGGAACGAATCCAATTTGAAAAATCTTTTTGCATTAGAAAGCCTGTTTATATGAGGAAGACTATATATTATATAATATTTAGTCTATATATTCCATACTAACAGTGAAAATGTACCTTGCTATCGTTGAATATATTTTTTAAACAGCTGTGCAATAATATTTTGAATCAAATAGCAAACATGATTTAATTTTTATAATTATTAGTGTATTTATACAGAATCGTAGCAATAATAGCAACATTTTTATGAAATGTGAAACTGGGTCAGTCACTAATCAATAACCCGTTTGACAATGAAAATATAAATAATGCAATGAGAACACATACTAAACAAAATGCATGCTTTGAAGCCATTCAAACCATGCATGTTTATGAATCTCTTATGAATTTAAGGCAAGAAAATTGAATTGAATAAACATGTTACAAGAGAGTTAGGCCACAATTCTGTCTGAAAGGTAATATGTTATCTAAACCTATGGATTTAGAACCATGATATTTGCTTAAGTTTTATTTATATATAAGGAGTACTAATTAAAGAGTACGAATTCATCCCTGAAAGGAACTAAATAGAGGTTAATTGACTGAGCGAGCGAAGTGTCTCTACTTCAAGTCTGGCAAAGTTAGCTTCCTCTGTTAGTATGTTGGTACTTCTCTAACCTACAAGTTGTATTTTACAACCGATTTGAATGATATACAGGTTTTACGAGGTTTTTTGGCATCGGGGAATTTTTATTGGAGGGGTTTTACATAGAAAAAGAGGCAAAAAGGGGGCTACTGGATATCTCCGCCTTATGGTATACGGTTTCGATGGTTCTTTTTTTATTTTAAAGGTAGTAACTTTAAGTTGGTCTCATAAAAATTTAGTGAACATCTGGTGAGGGTCTTGTGCATTATGAGCAGAATAACTCCTCAGTTTGTGCTCGCGAGGTCTACTGTTCGCAAATCTACTTGTAAGTTCATAAGAATCTAGACTCAACTGGCTTGCTTTGAAACCATTCACAAAAAAATCGAATTGAATTAAAGTTTATATGGATGTTCGTCATTTTGGATGTTAGGAATATGGAAGTTGGTTCCAATGAGAAATATCATCAAGTATACAACCTGTTGTTCTTCAAGTTGACCCTTTGTAATTGACCCATGTTATTGTTTTAATGCTTGGATCGCAATCCAAATGATGAATGCTGATTAACTATACCCTGTTTGAAATATTAAAAAAAATCCATTTGACATTGTCGTCAGCTCTTAAGGACAATGCGGCACTTATATTAAATTACCTATTTAATTTTCTTGGGTTTTAAGACCACGCTCTTGATGAAAAAGCAGAGTTGGTATAAGTTTTGAGCCTGTTAGTTTTTTTTTACTTAAGATATAATTTAAACAATCTTAACTAAAATCTGTACTAATAAATGGAGAGCCGATTTTTTTGTTCGGTTATACTGCTATAACTACTGAACCGATCGGTATAATACTCATACCATAAGATGCAGCGTGTTTTGCAGAAGGTTTTAGTATATGATATGTTGGTGATTAATGTACTATGTGGGCGGAGCCACAGGAAAACGCTAGTAAATTAATAAAATGAACAAAATAAATTAACCATTTAAAATTTTCATGCATTTTTCGAATGGTGTGATAAAATAATAGGAATCGTGGTAAAACAATTTCATAGACATATAGGTGTAATATTTTGTAATTTTGTATGTATGTATTCAGCCCTTTTTAACGTCCCACTACTAGGCACGGGCCAGGCACAAATCTATAAAACCTATGATGCTAAAAATCATGATATGAATATATTTCAGATCAATAAACAAATTTAATTTACTTTACATTTTTACACTTTAATGTAGATGAAATTGTAGTGTTTTTCTAGTATACCTATATTTTTTTCTTTTATCGTTTCTGCCTGTGCTAAGTATGACCAAACATCCTTTAATGTCAAGTGGGTGGGTCTTTGAGCTATTTTTAAATTGTTGGCAATGACTAATTTATTCCAGTGAATTAAAATGTTCTGTATCTACCTACATATTACCTGTTAAAATCTATACTAATATTATAAATGCGAAAGTTTGAGTGGCTGTATGGATGTCTGAATGTATAGATGTATGTATGTTTGTTACTCTTTCATGCAAGAACTACTGAATTGATTTTAATGAAACTTTACAATAATATAGCTCATACATCAGAATAACACATAGGCTACATTTTATCCCGGGAAAATGTACGGTTACCTTGGGATAGATATGTTTTATCTTTCTAGAGAGTTCTTTATAGATTTGACTTATATATGCGATACGATACCTATTATCATGTCGCATATATAAGTAAGTACATATTTTAGATTATCCTATAATAATTACTAATTAATTGTTTGGATACCTGTTAACGGTTTTTATACGCAGCTTTTAGAATAGTTTATTAGCACCTGTAAGATAGTGGCTTAATGAGTCGGTGCAAAGTATTTTAACCATTCATTAAATATTTTCTAAGATATTTATTTTAATTATATGATACTAGTTTTTGCCCGCGTCTTCGCTCGTATGATAAGCGGCGCTGGGATCAAGGATAGTCTATGTCCTATAGCAGGATGTCCGATGCATTCTATATCCTTTCCTTTTATCGAAAGCTATTCAGCGAGATGAGCGTGAAAGGATAACAGAGTTCATTCATATTTATAACTAGCAACTTACCCTCATTTCACTTGGATACGTCCTTAGGTACGTTTTATATAAATAACTAGCATTGCCCGCGGCTCCGCCCGTGTTCACATGACCAAAAACCAAATTCTTAGGTTTTACATATTACCAGTAGTATACTCTTACAATGCAGTTTTTGTATATTTTCTCAGAAATGAGACATTTTCCCGCGGTAAAAAGTATCCTATATGTTGACCCGGATAACCAGCTATCATCATACCAAATTTCATCAAAATCCCTCCAGTGGTTTTTCTGTGATGCAGTAACAGACAGACAGACAGACAAAAATTCTAAAAACTATAGAATCGGACTCTGTATCGATAATAATGTCTATTTCAATGAGATTTTCCAAAAAATATTTAATGTACAGATTCGGCTAATTACAATTTTATTATATGTATAGAAGTAATAGTGTAGATAATTAAAAGTAAGCTCTTTTATTGTTCCGATTGATCATCGATTTTTATTATTACTGATCATAACATTTGTTCCAGATGGAAGCTTTGAAAGAAGTAATGGTAAAAGATCTCGGCCAAACTGTCATTGAAATTACAGATCCTGAAGCAAAACTTGCTGGCTCCGATGTTTTGTTTACAGGTAATGTGTGAAATAAATTAAGCTAAATTTTCTAATTTACTAAGTATTATATAATCTTTCTATATATAATTTTTCTGTATGTGTGTATGTCACTGAACTCCTCTTACATAACAAAAAAAAATGTGTGTTAGAGTGGGACATCTCTACCCTGTTTTTCAAGTGTGGGGCTGCAGTTGGGTTCTATGATTTTAGGGGGATGAGTATGGTGAATACCGAATATGGTGAAGACCATATTTGGGCAGTACTTGTATAAGTATGTTAGCGACTCACCCTTGCTCCGCTCGGGTTCGTCCCTAGTTACGTTTTAACGTTTAGTATAGATTTCTCAGAGATGAGATATTTTCCTGCAGTAAAAAGTATCTTATATATTGACCCGGATAACCAGCTATCATCAAACCAAATTTCAGTTTGTAGTCCAGCAGTTTTATGGTGATGCGTTCATAGGCATATAGACAAAAATTATAAAAACTATAGATTCGGCCTCCGTATCTATAATAATGACTACTTCAATAAGATTTTTTAAAAAATATTTAATGTACAGATTCGACTCAGAATTTTATTATATGTGTATTTATATATGTAAGCTTATCATATGAAAGTAAAGACTATCTGAGCATATATACGAGATAAATATATTTAGACGTGATTAAATTGTTAAAATGAATGTAGCTTCAATAATGCAAGCTGAATAATAAACAGTTTACATTATTAAGAAGGGCAAAGCATCAATAAAGAGCTGAAAGATAGATTTCATTTGAATTTTCTTTGTTTCGTTATAAACTTTAATCGATTAAGTACAATAATAGTATCTATACCTACTCATATTATAAAGAGTGATTTGTGGTATTGTGAGTTTGTGACATTGTAGGGGGCTATCTCTAGATCTACTAAACCGATTTAGATGAAATTTTGTAAGAAGATAGTTTGAGACCCTGGGAAGGACATAGGATACTTTTTTCCCGGATTTTAATATATAAATAAAAATTGTCGATCTGTCTGATATTGTAGAGGAGTAATGTTTGACTAACAACTGTTGTTTATAAGTTAGAAAACCTTAAAAGAAAAATTTATAATATTAAATTTTAAGAGGATTTTACTAGAAGTGTTCAGAATTTATGGGTAGATATATAACTTATTAAATTCTTGCGTCTCATAATTTCTATAACTTCATACTCACAGTTAAGTATGTGTAAAAAATTTGTAGTTTTGTATATAAGTAAATACATGTATAAATCTGTCTTTACTTTAAATCTGTCGTTTTATTCAATATAATACTAGCAACTCACCCTCGCTTTGTTCGGGTTCGTTCGTTTTAATGGTTGATATGAAATAGACAGACTATATATTAGTACATATATGTATGTATATACTAATAAGATGAGTTCTACATCCCTTACTTGAGAAATTACTGATCCCTCATACAAAGTTTCATCCCCCTTTTCACCTCCTTAAGGGATGATTCCCGGGATAAAACTGTCCTATGTTCTTCCAAAGGCCTCAAACTAATTTCATACCAAGTTTGATCCAAATCGGTTTAGTGGATTTTTAGTGTATCTATTACAAACAAATTCACAAACTTAATGACTTACCCATTTATAATTTTAGTGTACCTACATTGACAATCCATGTTGCTCATTCATACAGACTTGTTTTAAATGAATTTGCTATGTTTTTTCAGGACGAGAATTTTTCGTTGGTATATCGGATACCAGTAACGAAGCCGGTGCTAGCGCGGTCGCTGAAGCCTTTCCGGAATTCCCCTGCACACCCATCAAGGTATAAGCTACAGCTTTCGTTGCACACCGTAGCCTCTTAGACATTTTAACGTTTTTACTAGCTTAATCTATGTAGATAAATAAAATTTTACACGTGTATTGTTTTGAATGTTGACCTCGTTTCGTATTAATATCAGCAAATTGGATCGTAAAAATAATTGGACGTAACCTTATTAACATTTTAAAACTCTAAGCGTAACATATGGGCATAACGAGACTAACAAAATTGGCAATAAAAGTAAATTAGACAAAGATTTTAAAATATAATAATGTTTAAAACGTCTGCGTACATCAGTGTTTGTTTGTTTGTTTGTGTCGACGAACGCGCTAAGCTCAGGAACTAATAATCTGATTTGAAAAATTCTTTTTGCATTAGATAGCCCTTGCATTAGATAGTTTAGCGAGGAAAACTATAGGCTATATATCATACAATATGTAGAGTACCTATATTCTAACCGTTAAAATGTACTTAGGGACGAACCCGACCGCAGCGAGTAAAGTAATACGCATTAAATGTAATCAAACTATTATTGTTTATATGGAAACTATCCCATATGATATTTATATCTTATATAACGTTTAGCTCAGAGATGAGATATTTCCCAGCAGTAAAAAGTATCCTATATATTGATGCGGATAACCAACTATCATCAAAATCTGTCCAGTGGTCTTTTTGTGATGCGGTCACAGACAGACAGAGAGAAATTCTAAAAACTATAGATTCGGCCTCTGTATCGATAATAATGTCTATTCCAATAAGATTTTCCAAAGAATATTTAATAAACAGATTCGGCTTACTTATAAAAGGCCAAAATGCTTACTAATTTTAAGTTTACCTGCTTCATATATATTACAATTTCTCCTATAAACAAATCTAAAATATACATTTTAGGTGGCAAACGGTGTGCGTCATCTAAAGAGACTTATTAGTATGGCTGGTCCTGATATACTTTGTGTCTCAGCAAGTAAAGAGGCAAAGGAAATGTTAAAGAGGATCGAGAGGGAAGCTACCTTTACATATCAAACCCTCACGGTACCTGAGAATGGGGCTGCCAATTGTCTTTACGTCAATGGCACTCTCATACATCGTGCTATTGAAGAGATACCGGAATCTTTCAAGGTATAATACCATGGAATAGAAATTCGTACTGTTCCATGAAAACCTTAAGGGTTGTCATAAGTTACCAATTTTTATGGTTAGAACATGGGTAGTGGCAGAATTATTTCATTTCCCACATTTTCACATCAAACTACTAACTAGTCTTTAAATGATTAATTTTATAATTTTTATTCATATCTTATATTGATCATCTTTTCGTTCAAGATATCTAAATTTAAACAAGTCTTTTACTCTTATAATTTTATTTCTTTAACTTTTTTGTATATATTTTCCTTCATGGCAGGGGGGACAAGTGCACCCCCTTGCACTCCCCTCATCGTTAGATTAAGGGGTTGAAAATTACAACTAATAAATGGATCGCATAAAAACTTTATCGTCATTTTAAATCAATTACATAACAAGTGTAAATTAAATTTAGTTTTAGAACGAAAAATAAATTATTAATAATATTAATAAGATAATAATACCTATCAATCCTATCAAGATAATACAATAAACAACATGTGTTCAGCCCATTTAACGTCCCACTGCTGGGGGTGGGCCTGCCTTTAATAAGAAAGGCACCAGGCTTTGACTTGAATGGTTTTGGAACGCATTAGAAACAAACGTCCAAAATTTTTTTTTGCGCCAGAAACCTTCGTAGGCGTCATACAGAATAACCTTCCAAAGTTTCATCGTAATCAGATCAATTGTGTAGGAAATCATAGAGGACAAACATACGAACATTCATTTTTATTTATATCTATACTAATAATATAAAGAGGATATATTTTTTTGTTTGTTTGTACCGAATAAGTTCCTAAAGTACTGCATCAATTTAGATGAAATTTGGCAAGAAGATAGTTTGAGACCCTGGAAAGGACATAGGATAGTTTTTATCCCAGAAATCACTCCTTAAGGGTGTAAAAATGGGGATTTATACAAAAGGTTCAGTCGAATTGTCGACTAATGTAATCCATTCAATTCCAGGTGTTCTGCGAGAAGATAGATTTTGCAAGACGATCCATTTGCTTCTCAGGGCTTGCTAAAGTATCAACAGGACTCACAGCTTGTTGCCTTTTGGTGAGAAAAGTATAAGTATATATTTACGTCATGGTGCGATACAAATTTTTATTTAATGATTGTATTGTTGTATTAATGGAAATAAGCGTTTTAGTGTTAAAATCGTTTCTGAATTATTAGTAATATAATTGGACTCTACATAAATGTTTATTTATTAATTTAGTTTAACATCGATCAAAATATTAAATATACAATCCCATACAAAAGTTCCCTTAAAACTGTCACCAATTGTGTTTAGGTAATTATTGTAGTTGTAGTTAATATTCAACAATGTGAATTGAACCTTAAATGAGATACTTAAAGTTGTTTACACAAAAAATGAATAAATTAAAAGTGCGCTCAAATGTTCAAATGAGCGCTCATTAGGTGAGGATATTTTTTGTCGCTGATTGTGTATCTAGTACCTTTTTGATCGATGATTTTTAAATACGTGTTGGTTGTGTATATGTGGGTTTAAATATTATTCCTAGTACTAAAAGCCCTTAAAACCCGGTATATTACATGTTTTTAAGGCATTATTTATTATACAATTATTATTTGATACATTCTAACTTTGTATCGTATCGTGAATATAACGAAAAGGCTAATTATACAGTGTGTTCAAAAATTCTTAAAAAAATTGTGACTTCTATACAAATCGCTTGGTTTTGCGAATGCTTTGCAAATTAATATGCGATTTGACAATGCTTGTAATACATAATATATGTCAAAACTTAAGATATTTCTCCATTTTCGAATGTAGATTAAAAAAGTCACAGGTCGCTAGAAATTGCTTTTGCATATTTGTTTTTTGTTTTTGTGTAAAGAAAGTAAACGAAAGGTTATTTCAACAATAAATAACCTTTATATGACATATACCTCACAAATGAGGTGTGCGATTGTGAAAGATTAATTTTTTTATTCGATTTTAAAATAACTAATTAACTAATCGATTATTCAACAGAAACTTTAAATATTTAATCTTAAAAATTATATTATTATTCCATGAACACATTATTCGAAGTATTTACCGAATTATAAAAATAATCGATTGATTGTGAACATTCGTAATTACCTACTTACGTTATTGTTATGATATGATATAGAAAAATATTCATATACGTTAGGGTGGCAAAAAAATTTTTTTTTGGTTGAGTTGAGAAAATTTTTCTCTAAATAATTTTTCTTCGAGCTTTCTTTAAAGAGCTCGTAAAACATGAAAAACTAACATATTATCAAACGAGACACGAAAAAAAAGGTTTTTTGCACCCCCGTAATATACATAGAAGTAGAAATATATCGTCGTGTAATAATGTATTTCTACCTTTATCTCTTAGTAATTAGCCACCCATTCCCTAAGTTCCAAGACTGAAAATAGTATATGAAAATACTAAATTCCAATATAAATATATATATATATATATACATATATATATACATATATATATATATATATATATATATATATATATATATATATATATATCTCCTCGAGTTACTTTAAGTTTTTCTAATCATTCCCTTTTACATTAGGTAGTTGTGGATTACTTGACATGGCGATTTAGTTTGATTTAATGTTTGACCGACTTTAAAAAAGGAGGTAATCTTTTGCTTGTATGTATATTTTTTTGTGGTACACGATGTGTCCTTTAATCGGGCGTAGTTATGCAAAATTGTTATCATCATAAATCAAGCCGCAAAGTTCCTTTTTTTGTTTTGAAACATACAGACGCTAACGATACAAACAAAATATTAAGCATTTTCGTAGAGTTAAATAGAACCATGTATCATGGTAAACTAGAGGTCAGTTTTTGTGTTGGATCTATTTTGCATAACTACGTCCAATTTTTAAACGATTTTCATAATTCTTTTATTTAAAAAAAGAGTTTTTTTAAAAGATCTTTTTCTACTAAAAGATTATATTTTATCAATGGTCTCGTGTAAATTTCGAAAAAAAATCACTTCTTTAAGAATTATATAGATTTTTAGAAAAAAATAACACTGAAGTGATTTTGAAGTCGGTTTAACTATTTTTATTAAAAAAATCATTAAATTTGATGTCATTAAAAATTGTTAAAACATAAGTAAATAATTGAGTACTACAAAAGAATTTTTACTAACATCTAATAATAACATATTATTTATTAGAGAAAAAAACGCGTCTACGCGTGTACCTATGTACGCACTTAGGAAGTTATACTTCTTTGGCGTAACAGAACAAAAATAGCTAAAGATTTCATCCCGTATGTTACAACTCTCTGTTTGTAAAAGGAACTAACAGCTAACTTCATCATGTCGTTTTTTGGCTGTCGGTGTGCGCACGCATATTAAAAAATTTACTCTCATATTTTTTTCTAAACGTGCCAAAAGAAGTATAACTTCCAAAAAGTCGACATGTCATTTTATTCACGCATGTTTTAGTCACCATATTATATAGTTTATACTTTCGTTGTAGGAACTGAAATGTACAAAACGCATAATATTCGTGTACCTGTCCTCGTACTTCTTATATTAAAATATAAATTATTTACAAGTTTCAATCGCTTACATTCTCCATTGTATCAAACAGTATAAGTACTAAGTGATGGGATTTTCCATCGATATATATATATAAAAAAAATAAAACAAAAATACATAGATACATATAGACTAATAAGTAATAAACATATTACCCTCCTTTGTGTCGCGCAGTCGGGTAAAAAAAAGCATTTGTTCTTTCAAATCGATTTGGGTTTTAATTTTAATACTTAATTTATTACTTAATCATCCAGAATCTATTTATTGTATAGCAAAAATTTTTCCATAAGTTCAATGTTAATTAATAATCTGTACAGATAAATAAAATTGTAGTGTCTGTTTGTAATGTCATCAACATTTTTCTACTAAATGCATATGAAATTATACACAATACTTAAAACCCAATTTTTATTTTTTTTTGTGTGTCTGTCTGTTTGTTGCGGCGAATCTCCGAAACTGCTGGACTGATTTTGACGGGACTTTCACTGGCAGATAGATGATGTTATAAGAAGTAACTTGGGCTACTTTTATTTTAGAAAAAGTATTGGAGTTCCGCTAAAAGTATTTTAAACGGACCTATTTAATAAGCCATTCTTACGCACAATACGTTTTGATGTTAAATTTTACTTATAATATGAAGTTTACATCGATGAGTGTAAGTAAGCGATTGAACGATTTCGTAGTCAAATAATAAAAATATGCGTATACACAACATGTTAGATCTTAATTTTTATCTTTAATCTATTTAAAGTCCGTATTATATTTTGGTTGTTATAGGAAACTTGACCGACAAATTAAAGTTGTATGCAATCAATGTGTTGGTATCGAATTTAATATCGATTTTTAATATTTTTATTTCGATTTATAAATTAGTGTAATCCTATAATAATTTGACTATATTAAGAAACAACATGGTTTATATTGCTTTAATTTTATGGAGAGCTTAAAACATTAAAATATTTTTGAAATTTGATCTGAAATTAAAAAAAAAACATATTCTAAGAATAGCCTCGTGATTACAATTAATATTATAGATTATATTACTTATACTATTTTATTATTATTATTGTTAAAATACGTTTATTCATTATGAAAATGTCACTAGCTATAATTTTATTTATTTTTTTGCGTAATTACAAATTATTGTTCACAATATTGGAGTGAAACTTCCTTAGACATGTTGTGTTTTGAAACTCGATGAACCGAAAATGGAATACTAAAAAGAGACAAACACATAAATATATAGGATTAAGCCGGCGAGAGAATGAGACAGAATGATTTACACAGGAAGTGAAAAATAATACTGAATAATATATAATGTTAAATAAAATGTAAAATAACTTTTAAACTTGGTAAAAATATTATTAAAAAAATATATAAACCTTTTATTAATCTACTAATGATATTCTATATTCGTCTCAGTCTTATCATAGACCAATATCATCTCATAGGTTACTTCTGAAGTTTCACTTCTACCGTGTATGAATTGCACACACACGAACATACACTTATATTATGTATCAGGTGTTATATATTATATATTTACTACATTAAAACATAAATAAAAGTTCTTGCGAAATTGACTCGTATATATAGGTATGTAGGTCTGAAGAGCTACACAAACATATAGATTAGAATTAATGTCGACGTCTATACAAAATTTATCTCTCATTTTTCGAAGTTGGGGGTTGTAAATGCATATAATTTGTGTTTTTTGGCGAAGTCATCAAATAAATAAATAAATATGTTGAAATATTAATACAGGGCACCATCTAGTTCCATGGTAAACTACACAGATATAACTTTAAATACATACATATTATAAATACAAACCCATGACTGGAGTACATAACATTCGTGCTCATCACACAAATGAATGCCCCCAGCGGGAGTCGATCCTGTGTCCGCTGGCACAGCAAGTAGGGTCACTACAAACTGAGATAATCATGTCGTCAAATAATTTATCTAGTTTTTTTGGTTTCTAGGTTTATATTTCCATATAGTATTTAATACCTGTTTGGAATTAATTACTATAGTAATTTTTTTAATAAAAAAAAAGTATAATATAATATCTGATAATTTTAAATAATTATAAAGTCTTAATTATTTAAAAACGTATTAAATCTTCATACTTTGAAGTCATTTTTGCTCTCTACATTTTATTCTATTTACGTCGTTTTATCTACATTGGGCATATACTGGTATTATCATATATATTTATTAATTCTATGGCAGCGTTCTCCAAACTTCCAGAGGTTTTACCAATAATGTTATAATTAAATTGATATTGTATTAGATAACTAATATTAATGAGAATTATAAAACTGCTTATATTTAACTAGCGGCTCACCCTCGCTTCGCTTGTGTTCGTCCCTAGGTACGTACATAGGTATGAATAGTTATTAGCCAGCGTTAGCCATATAAATTTTAATTTTCTTTATCGTGAATTTTTCTAATGTTTTAGTAGTTATTCTGCTATTAGAGGCGGAGATAAATCTAACAAATCGATATATATA